AGAGCAGGGAGCCCGATGCGGGGCTCGATCCCAGGATCCTGGGATCATGACCTGAGCCGAAGGCAGACGCTTAACGACTGAGCCACCCAGGCGCCCCTAAAATGCTCTTGTTTCTTGAGGTGGGCCTGTATCACTATAAATTTCCCTCTTAGAAATGCTTTTGCTGTGTGGTAAAGATTTTGAACTGTAGTGTTTCCATTTTAGTTTGGCTCCAAGTATGTTTTGATTTCCTCTTTGTTTCTTTGTTGATCGATCAGTTGCTTAGTAATCTATTATTTAGCTTCCAGGTATTTTATGTTTCTTTTAGTTTTCTTGTAATTGATTTCTTTCTAATTTCATACTGTTATGGTGGGAAAAGAAGCTTGATATGATTTCAGTGTTCTTAGACTTGTTTTATGGCCTACCATGTGATCCGTCCTGGAGAATGTTCCATGTGCACTTGAATAGATATTCTGCTGTTTCGGGGTGGAAAATTCTGTTTATATCTGTTAAGTCCACCTGGTCTAGTGTTTCATTCAAAGCCACTGTTTGATTTTCTGTCTGAATGATCTATCCATTGATGTAAGTAGGTGTTAAAGCCCCCTACTATTACTGTGTTATTGTCAATTTCTCCCTATATGTCTGTTAATATTTGCTTTATTTAGATGGTGCTCCTATGTTGGATGCATAGATATTTATAATTATTATATCCTCTTAGTGAACTGATCCTTTTTATCATTATTTAATGACCTTTTTGGTCTCTTTTTACAGTCTTTGTTTTAAAGTCTATTTTACCTGATACGAGTATTGGTATCCTGTTTTCCCTCTGCTTCATTTGCATGGAATATCTTTTTCCATCCCTTCACTTTTTTTTTTTTTTAAGATTTTATTTATTCATTAGAGAGAGAGCACACAAGTAGAGGGGAGGGGCAGAGGGAGAAGCAGACTCCCCACTGAACAGGGAGCCCAATGCGGGGCTCGATCCCAGGACCCTGGGATCATGACCTGAGCTGAAGGCAGACGCTTAACTGAGCCACCCAGGCATCCCTCCATCCCTTCACTTTCAATCTGTATGCTTCTTTAGGTCTGACGTGAGTCTCTTGTAGGCAGCATATAGATGGGTCTTGTTTTCATTCAGTCACCTTATATCTTTTCCTTGGAGCATTTAGTCCATTTACATTTGAAGTAATTATTGATAGGTATGTACTTACTACCATTTTGTTGTTTTTTGGTTGTTTTTGTAGTTCTGTCTTCCCTTGTGATTGATGGCTTTCTTTAGTGTCGGGTTTGGATTCCTTTCTCTGTGTATCTATTACAGGTTTTTGGTTTGTGGTTACCATGGGGTTCATATATAACACCCTATGTGTATAGCAGTCTATATTGAGATCATGGTCTTTTAAGTTCTCGAAGAGCACTAAAGTTTTATTCCCCCCTCCATGTTTTATGTATATGAGGTCATATTATGCCTCTTTGTGTATCCCTTGATTAGTTTTTATAAAAATAATTGATCTTAATACTTTTATTTTAACCTCCTTTCTAGGTTTATAAGTGATTGATCTACTACCTTAACTATATGTTTACTTTTACTGTGAAATGTTCTCCTCTCATAATTTTCTTCCACTGTGGCCTTTTCTTTCCACTTAGAGAATTACCTTTAACATTTCTTGTAAAGCTAGTTTAATGGTGGTGAACTCCTTTAACTTTTGTTTATCTGGGACACTCTCCAATTCTGAGTGATAATCTTGCTGGATAGAGTATTCTTGGTTGCAGGGTTTTTGTTTTTTTTTTTTTTTTTTTTCTTTCAGCACTTTGATTATGCCATTCACTTCTGGCCTGTAGAGTCCTGCTAAAAATGAGCTGATAGCCTTATGGGGTTTGCCATATATGTATGTAACTGTTTGCTTTTCTCTTGCTTTTGGGATTCTCTCTTTAATTTTTGTCATTTTAATTATGTGTCTTGGTGTGGACCTCCCTGGGTTCATCTTAAGGCTCTCCTTGCTTCTTGCACCTAGATGTCAGTTTCCTTCCCCAGGTTAAGGAAGTTTTCAGCTGTTATTTCTTCAAATAAGTTTTCTGTCCCCCTTCTCTTATCTCCTTCTGGGATCCCTATAATGCAAATGTTCATACACTTGATATGTCACAGAGGCCCCTTAACCTATTCTCATTTTTTATTTTTTTTGCTGTTCAGCTTGGGTGTTTTCCATTACCCTGTCTTCCAGATCACTGATCTGTTCTTCTGTATCCTCTAATCTACTGATTTCCTCTAACATTTTTTATTTTATTATATTCTTCACCTCTGACTAGTTCTTTCTCAGTTCATCCACTCTTCTTTCAAGTCTGGTGAGTATCTTTCTGACCATTACCTTGAACTCTATCAGGCATTTGCTTAGCTCTTTTTCTGTGGTTTTTCCTTCTTTCATTTGGGACATACTCCTGTGTGTCCTCATTTTGTGTTTCTATAAATTAGGTAGGTCAGCTGCTTCTCCTGCTCTTGAAAGTAGTGGCCTTGTGTGGAAGGCATCCTGTGGTTTCCTGCAACACAGTCCTCCCTGGTCACCAGAACCTGTTGAGGTTGAGCCATGACAGATGCTGGCATGCTGGTGGATGTTGCTAGCCCTCTGCCCCACTGGCTACAGTGATCATCCTGTCGTGTTAAGGGGACAATTGTGGGCAGGGCTTGTCCGCTGCACAGCTGGCTAATAAGCCCTAGTAGTCTCTACGTGCTCAGCCTGTCTCCAGTGGTCTGCTTTGCCTGCTCTGGGCTCACTGGTAAGCAGGGCTTGCTTCCTGTTTGGCTGGCTGTGAGACCTGGTTGCAGCACCTATGGGTTTGCTGGTAGGCAGGGCTGGCCGTTAGCCCAGCTGTCTGGGATGAGCCTCTGTGACTGCTGCAGACACTGAGGGTAGGGCTTGCTCCATCCATAGGCAGCTGAGGAGCATGGCTACAGCAATTGCACATGCACTGGTGTGTGGGGTTAGCTCCCCCCTCCCCAGGGCAGGAGGTGCTGTGGAGGGGTGCCTACCACAGTGAGCAGGTTGGACAGGGCAGGACACACAGGGCTAGCAAGGTAGGGGGAGAATGTCAGAACTGGCTTCTCCAAGTGCCTGGCTATCTAGGCTGGGAGAGAGCAAGAAAAAGGGCACCTACCAGCACTTTCATGCCTGGAGAAAGCTCCTGTTTTCCTGTAGATTCCTGCCCCTCCTGTACACATCCTAAAACTAGTCAATAAATCTCCCTCACATATACCCCAGGCACTTTTCAAACTGTTCCTTCTATGGTCTGTCTCGGGCCAAGTTATGTAATGTGTTGGCTTTTAAAGGGTGAGGACTTGGTTTCCTAAGCCCTCCAGCTCTCCTGGAGTTAAGCCACACTGATTTTCAAAGCCAGACATTATGGAGACTGGGTCTTCCCAGTGCAAGTCCCCAGGGCCAGGGGTGTCCATTGTGGGGTCGCTCCTCCTTGCCTGTGATGTCCCTCACCTTTGTTGAGTAGTCACTCCGGGAGTTTCATTCCTGATGCATCTGTCCCTCCTACCCTTTTTGATGTGACCTTGTGTCTACACCTAGCTGTGGAAGATCTGTTCTGCCACCCTTCAGGTGGTTTTCAGAGTGAGCTGCAGTACATGTAGCTGTTGCCTCCATGTGTCCGTGGGGGAGGTAAATTCAGGGTTCTCCTACTCTGCCATCTTCCCTCTCCTATAAAATTTCTTTTAAAAAATACTACTGTTTTTTCCACAATGGATAGTTATACAAAGTCATTTTAATATAGTCATTTCCAAATGTATAAAAGGTAAAACATTCTAATTTAAGAAAAATGTAATAGGCAATAAAATATTAACATAAGACAAATATGTGAAAATTATTTTAGAGCTTGTTTTTCATAGATGTCCACCTACTGGTACAAGAGTAAAACCTGCATTAGGTGAGTTCGTGCAAGCTTCTCCATAAGTTGGTCTCCAGTAATAATGCTTTTTAAGGCCATTGGAGACTTCTGCAAGATACACATGTCCATCCACCACAAATGGCTCCACATCTGTATTATCTGGTTTTAGACGGTCCAT